ATATCTAATTAAAAGAACACCTTTTACTTAACCTTTTTTTTTTTTTTTCTGTAAATATCTAAAGGTTGCTCAAGAGGCGTGTCAGTTGGCTTCAAGTCGAATATGAGCAACTTTGTCCAATAGGAAATAAGTGTCTTGACATTTTGTCTTCAGTAGCAGATGCTTAAATATGAGCTGAATCAATGAGCACTGATTTGTGCCATTTACATGATTTTTTTTTTGCTCATTTTTTTTTTAAGTCAAATGATCCATCCAATCATGTGACAACTTCAGCTTTAATGTTGTATTTTGCCCCCTTTTTTTTTATTTATTTAGGTGAAGATGATGGGTTTGAGTTATCAACTGAGGACAATAATCTGCAAGGCTTGATTAAGTACAACATGAGGAAGAGTTTGGATCTGGAGCAGGAGGGTTGCTACCTGCAGACTGGGAGGAAGGTGTGCCTAGAGGAGTGTGGCTTCAATGCTACAGCCAAGACTTTCTTCATCATCCACGGCTGGACGGTGCGTATCTGTGCCGAGTTTAGTCTCGTTTAAAAGCCTTCGCCAAATCAGCTGCATCTCCAAAGAGCACGGGAAGATCTGTGAAGAGTTCTCTAACAACAAAATTCCTTATTTCCCCTCAGATGAGTGGTATGTTTGAAAACTGGATGCACAAGCTGGTCTCTGCAGTGATGCAGCGGGAACTCAACGCCAATGTGGTGATTGTGGACTGGATCCCCTTGGCTCAGCAGCTTTACCCCGATGCAGTCAACCACACGCATACTGTTGGCCTCGACATTGCTGGCATGCTCAACTGGCTGCAGGTGTGTTCAGTCACTTGAATCAAATCACCATTCACCTGTAAGGCAAGATCATGACTAGGATTAATGGAAGTCTAGGAGTGCTCCTGGCAGGAAATGACAGCAAGAAGTGAGGGGAAATTTGCCTTTTGAAGCAGTTTTAATAAACTTTTTTAGCACATTAGCCATTAAATGTTAATGCTTCAAACCTCTGTATGCAAGCTCAGTCTAAAGTTAAAGTGATACTGTATGGAGCAAACTCAACAGGTTGTAGTTTAACTGAGCTTTGCTCCATTTCAGGTGTGACGATTACAGGCTTAAACTCGAGATTTGTCCACTTTGTGGCAGCTGCTCAAACTTCTCCTTTTTCTCAAACAGGATGAGCTTCAGCTGTCTCTGAAGAATGTGCACCTGATTGGATACAGTTTAGGTGCTCATGTTGCTGGCTATGCAGGGACGTTTGTCGATGGGACTGTTGGCAGAATCACTGGTAAGATTGGATTTATTCTTTTTGTTCACTTTTACGGAAAACTGTTGCATGTTTAGAAAGTGACATTTTAACTGCTCATTGATTTTTTTATTTTTATTTTTTTATTTCCTACTAGGTCTGGACCCAGCAGGACCCATGTTTGAAGGTGTGGAGGAGCAGAAACGCCTGTCTCCAGATGATGCAGACTTTGTAGATGTGCTGCACACCTACACACGTGAGGCTTTGGGTGTGAGCATTGGGATCCAGCAGCCAATTGGGGACATTGATATTTATCCTAATGGTGGTGAAGTGCAGCCTGGCTGTGGATTTACTGATGTGCTGGCAGTGGCAGGAAGTGAGTGTTTAGAAAGGTTGACACAATGTGCTAATTTATTTTTTTAAATTCCCACAACTTCATCAATTTGTCTTAATTTTTCCAGACTTCATGGAAGTAATGAAGTGCGAACATGAGCGAGCGGTGCACTTGTTTGTGGACTCCCTGATGAATAGAGACCACATGAGTTTCGCTTTCCAGTGTACCGGCCCAGATCGCTTCAAGAAGGGAGTCTGCCTCAGCTGCCGCAAGAACCGCTGCAACAACATCGGCTACAACGCCAAAAAGATGCGCAAAAGGCGCAACAGCAAAATGTACCTGAAGACACGGGCCAACACTCCCTTTGGAGGTAAGAAGGAACAAGGAAATGTGAACATGTGCTGTCTTGAAGTACACCAAAACCCTTGAGTTTTTACAGCCCTGTGTAAACTGTACACGCCCACAGGGAATTAATCACAAGCTTTTTTCTTTTTAAGGCTACCACTACCAGATGAAGATGCACGTGTTCGACAGGAAGCAGTCCAGCAATACTGATCCCACCTTCTATGTGAATTTGTATGGTGCCCATGAGGACACAGGAAAAATCTTTGTTGTGTAAGTACTAAAGCTAAATCCAGCCTGCAAAACCAGTCTGTCAACGTCTCCCTGTATAGATATGCAGAGGAACACGCCTGACGTAAATTTAAAACGTTTTGTTCATGTTGACCTTAAAGTCTGCGTCACAAATTATGTTGCAAACCTAAACTGAAAAAATGTTCTCGGATCAAGTTTCTGTGATTGCAGAAGCATGGCAATGAGTCGGCCATCAGAATTGTCAGTTGAGTAATGGTGTGCTCCCTCTGTCCAGCCATGATGAGCCCATCGGCATGAACTTTACCAACACCTTCCTGGTGTTCACCGAGGAGGATATTGGTGACCTGCTGAAGATTCGTCTGACCTGGGAGGGTGAAAACGAGTCTTTGAGCTCCGTCTGGAAGAGCATCAAACACTCTTTCTGGAGCTGGAACGCCAAGGCTGTCAAACCTGCACTGGAAGTTCGACGTATTCGTGTGAAAGCTGGAGAAACGCAGAAAAAGTAAAGTGGCCTAATTAACACATGAATGTGTCTTCAACAAAAACTAAACATTACTATATTTAACTTTCTTTTTTTTTTTTTTAAGGTTTACTTTCTGTGCGCAAGACCCTTCAAAAACTGAAATCTCTCCAGGGGAATCGATAACTTTTGTAAAATGTCGAGACGGCTGGGAAGTAAAACCAAGAAAACGGTATGAAACTTTAATTTGACCATTTAATTAGTTTAAAGCTGTAGTGCTGTGTAATGATCCTAACTCTGGTCAACAGGCTGCCTATGTAAAATCCTGGCCTAATCATGACCAGCGCACCGTCGCCATGGGTGGACCCGGCATGGATCAGGGAGGAGCACCGCCTTTTCACTTGAGCACTTTCGTTGGAGGATTAATCGGCGCACCAAGTGTGGGGGGGGGAGGGTCTTCTGGACTAGAATGTTCAGCGCATTTCTGGGGTTCTGTCTAAAGAACACAAGAATGCTGGTGTGATGGTGCGGGCTTGTGGTGGCAGCAGTCCTTGTGTTGAGACTGCCTGACAGATTTCAGAACTGTGTGACGTAGAATGCAGGTCTGTTCCATTGAACATGTCTGCAACTGTTCTATAGTACTGTACATTTTTAAATGTTTTATTTATGGAAGAAAAAAAAAAAGCACTGCAAGACCAAGATAATTTATATCTATACATCCCATAACGAAGCACGTTTGTTCCATATACAGTATTTGTTGTCCTGTGACCAAGAATTCTTTCTACTGAAAGATTTGATACACTGTCTGATCCGTTAAACACCTTTTGCATAGTGCTGTGACTACTTTTTGGGGTGTCTGTATATATTGTAAATAACTTTTTTGGAAATAAAATAAAATCTATTTGTACATACTGTTGCCTTGTGACTTAAAAATGGGTAAATGTTGCTGACAATTTTTTATTTGCCTAAACTTTCTATACCTGTATTTTACTACTTGCAGTAATTTCTGAATTGAAACGGTCCCGAGACCAAATGTAACGGTGAGCTTTGAGCGACGGGTTTTGTGGAATGGTTATGAACATTTGACCTGTCAACTGGCTCTTAATGACCTCTGTTTAGAGAACTTTAATTTTAAGCTGGGACAAAACCAAAATTGCAGTCTTTAAAATGACGGTCGCTCAAATTTTATGGCAGTTCATGCTGGTGGAATCTAACCCCCAACTCTTGCGTTGGAGGACGACTGCTTTAATCACTCAGCCACTGCCACCCCAATACACGATTCCTGGAAAAACGGAACCGTTCTTGCATGGCCAGCATACTCGGACATGTCACTGATGTTTGCACAGCCATTAAGTGAGTAACATTCCACAGACTACAATCAATAACCTAATCAACTTTGAGAATGAGACTTGTTGCATTGCATGAGGCAAATGGCAGAACACCAGATACTGACTTGTTTGTTTCACCTAATGCAGCAAAAATAAACTGCGCATTTTAGAGAGACCTTTTATTGTGGTCAGCCTATGGCACACCTGTGCTATAACCATGCCGTCTGAGCAGCATCAGGATATGTCACACCTGTGATTATCTTGGCAAAGGAGAAGCGCTCACTAACAGACTTGCAACAATTCGAGACAAAAAGGCCTCTAGTGTACATCCTAGAAAAAGTCTTCGATCTTCCAAGTTCAGCTGTCAAATGTCAGCGTAAAGTAAAACTGTTGCGTTCTGGCTGGGCTGTATTAGTCATTGCTGCCCAACATGTTTGAGGGGATTTACATGATCCATGTTTGTTTTGATATGAAGGGATTGACTTTTTTCATTTCCTCTTGGAAAAGCTGGGAATATTTTGTCACCTCATCTTGCTCTGCCCCGTCATGTTTCAAACAAGATTCCTGAAAATTTACCAGAAAAGGAATGTTTTCATGTCTGTCACATTTGTTCCTTGTTAGCTGTGGTGGCAGTGTTTCCTGGTTGTAATTATTGTTGGTGCTTTGTCACAAAGGCTTTATAAAGTCAGTGACTTATTTGTCTAAAAACAGACGTCTGCAGGAGACAAAATCTGTCTGTGATCCCTCATCAATCAACATCCCCCACTTGTTTTTGTGATTTATGTCTGTTTACTGGTATTAGTTTGGAGTATTAACTCTGTTCAGCACCCTAGAGAAAACCACTGTCACATCACTGTCTGGTCATCTTTGTTTCATTACTGAATCTTCAAGCAGTTTTTTTTTTTTTTTGTCAAATCGTTGCAAAAGTCACAGAAAACAAAAGTCTTGTTTGCACACAAAATTGCAGGATTTACAAGTGAATATTGTTCAAACATGGTTTAAAAAAAAGCTTCATTTAAGAGGTGTTAAACTGTCTGGAAGCATAGAGACTACAGCTAATTGCACTTTAGAAGTCCAGGGTTTAAGATTGGCAGTTTTCCTGATAAATTACTGAACCTGCTTTTCAAACCTGAAGAGGATTTCATAAAAATAAAGATTTAAAAAATCACAATCCAAGATAAATGTATGAAAAAAAGCTTCCACTTGCGTTCCAAGTTTGATGACCATGTGTTTTTATTTTCCAGACGTCCATCCCAAAAATTTCAGTTTCTCACATAGTAACATCTGCAACAAAGTTACAAACTGGAAGCTGCTTATACTGAAATGGACTAAAGGATAAAGAAATGTTCAACATTCAGAGTTAAAGTTGGGTCGCATTAGGCTTGTTCTAAAATAAATACTTTTTATTGTGACTTGTTAAATAATGCAGAAAATCTAAAGCAACTTCAGAGCCTTTTAGAAGAACTTTCATTTCAGAGCACAAATAATGTTCGCCAAATAAACTACTTTTTAAGTCATTTTTAAGTTTGTGAGGCTTAAAAGTGTTACGATGTTTGCAGTGCATGCAGGGTGGTTTCCTTAAACAGATTTCAAATTAAAAGTCAGTTTATGTAGGATTTTTCTTTTTAATCTTCTGCCCTGAATATTCATGTAATTGATTCTGTCTGTGTGTACTTTTTGTTTTTAGGTCCATTTCTGTTATCACCTACCTTTTTGGACCTTAATGGGACAGAGTCTTGGTCCTTATTCAGTGAACGTCATTTTTCGGTCCGTGGTCAGCCTTGGAGCTAAAGGTGTGGACTCTGTTTAGATTAGTTACCTATGCGCTTATAGAGGTTAGGTTTAGGGTTATGGTCTAGATTAGGCTACAAAAATGCATGGGAGTCAATACAACGTTGTAATAAGGATAGAAAGATAGATACATGTGAGTGTTTGTTTGGTTGTCTGGTAGTAAAATAACTTGTAAACATTGTAAAAATAAAAAGTTCTTCACTTTTTGAGTCTGCCTGTTTCAATAAAGCTGACGTGCAAATCGTAGCAACCCCAAAAATAAAGAAAGCAAATGTTGAGCTAAAACTTGTGGTAGTAGCTGAGTGTCATCCCTACCATATACTTTGAGTGCTGTCAGCTCACAACAGATTTTATTTGCAGCAAGTTAGTATTTCTGGTCTGATTCGGTTGTTGCGCAAGTCCATCAGTCGTAAGACATTTTGAGGATTTTATGACCTTTGCAATCTTTTATTCTTATCCAAAACATTTAGTTGAGATTCCCAGTGATGCAATCTCATTCCGTTTGCAGATGCATGCACTTTGACACAAATAGATGCAATCTCTTATCAGATGAAATCTGGGACGACTGAGGACTACTAGCCTCAGACTGAACTTTGGCAAATTATTAAAAAATAAAATAAAAAAAATTGCAGTGATGGGTCCTGGACAAGTTTTACGGTTAAAATATTTTAATAACTTACACCATTTATAGTAGATATTAGAGAAATGTTCCATTTTTGTACTTAAATGTACTAGGTACTTAAGGTTTTTTTTTGTTTTTACGAGTATTGTGAGCACTTTAGATCTTAACATGATGTCACTTAAAGCAAAAAATAAAATAAAAAAATAAATGAAAACAGAATAAAACAAGCACCAGTTCAGAGGAAACTGCAGTTTTTACCCATCCCTCATTGAACCACCTGAAATCATTCGCTGCTAATTATGAATTTGGGACTTTTAGGCATACATTGATGATTGGCGTGTATTTGCTTATCCAAAGTATAAGATGTTATCTGTTTCATTTCTTTCAGCTCCACTCATCAGCAGACACTGTTTCTTTCCCTTTGCCAGCCTGTACATGTTCCTCTTAAAATTATGCCAAAATTCTGGGAAACTCTAAATGTGAAACAGGAACTTTGCTGAGAAAAAGCAAAGAGCATCAGAGCCTGTAATTAAATATTTCTGTATTAAAGGGAACAATGTTCTCTGAGTATTCATAATATAAAACTTACATTTTCTGCTAAAAGGGTGATTCAAAACAGCTAAACAGAACTGAACTGGGTTAAAACTACAAATAACAGATTTTAATTGCCTTGTCACCACATTTATTGGTCCAACGTGAGCTTGAAGACGTCTGCTGCCTGACCGAGCCCAGTCTGATTCTCATGAAGCTCGTGTTCCTTTTGTTTTGATTTTTTTAACCCACTATTTTACCAGCAGGCGTTTGGGTTTATTAGTGATAAGTGCCCCCTCAGAGGCAAAAACTGATATCAGAGAGAATATACCTCTACTTTGGACTCTTTTCAGCCAAAAGAGAAAACAAAAGTAATGTCAGCAAACCAACGATACGTTCACACATCTACAACTATCCATCCGTCCATTATCTTTACCAGCTTGTTCCTTTTCGGGTTGCGGGTTCATTGGTGCCCATTTCCAGCAGTCACTGTGCGAGAGGCAAGGGACACCCTGGACAGGTCTCCAGTCCATCACAGGGCCACATAGAGACAAACGAGACAAACAACCATTCACTCTCTCACTCACACCTAGGGACAATTTAAAGTTATTAATCGACCTAACATGCATGCTTTTGGTCTGCGAGAGGAAACCGGAGTACCCGGAGAAAACCCATGCATGCACGGAGAGAACATGCAAACTCCACCCAGAAAGGTCCCCGGCTGAGATTTGAACTGGTGACCTCGCTGAGAGGCGGCAGCTCTACCAACTGTACACTGTACCACCGTGCTGCCTCACATCTACTTTATCAAAATGTTTGATCAGATGACATGGTAACCAAATTACAGTTCAAATTAAAAATTTGGTGATGGGGTTCACCAATTTTATCATCGATCCCATATTTTATTTTATTTTTTCCTTCTAATTTATTCAGCATTCCTTGAAAGAATGCATATTGTTTGCCAAATTGCAAGCCAAAGTTTTAAACTTTTTAAACACTCAACTACCATCACTCCAAGTTTTAGCTTAAAATCTGTAAAACTAGCCGAGTTGTAGCCATTCTTACAGAATAAGGTTGATTAGCTGTGCTGGTCATTCAGTCGTTATTTTCTGAGTTTCATGAGATATTTTGCTAACAGACAGACAAACAAACTGACACAGGCAGCCACACTATTGCCTGCTTTCGTGGCAGATGGCAATAATTATTGTGACATGTAGCTGAAAACCACAGATGTGTGGGTGAAGTCAGCTGCTTCTGATCACTTCTGTTCTTTAGGAAGCTTCCTGTTTGCTCGTCGTTGTAATTTTATGTTCTTCCTCTTGTTCTGAACTTGAGATACATACAAAAATAATTTAAAAAACATGACAGTGATCTGTGTTCACAAAAAAAACGAAAAAGAAACTGGGGCTTTGGGGTGT